CAGAAGGAGACGAAGGAGTTGAATTATGCATACTAACACCAGAATGATCCATTATGCATTTGGCTTGAGAGCTGCGTAAGCCGTAAATCTGCCTCAAATAACGTATATTATTATTGGTTACCTAACAATTCAAACTCACCCTCAAATAAATCGGAAAACGATTCCAATCCCCACTCTAGCAATAATAATTTGTACATCATGTCCCCACCTGGCTAGGCAATAAAAAAGCATCAATCACAAAACACTCCGCACTAATTAATAGCCCACACAACGGACGGGAACCAGTCACCAGACACCCGATGATCACAAAATAATAATTACTTATTTATTTATAGGTAATATTTTCTTGCTCTTGCTAGTTAGTTAATATTTTCTTGCTCTTGCTAGTTAGTTGCTATCGTCGTTGATTTTCGTCAACATTGACGTTCGACGACGTACGGTGACTTGTGAGTTATGCGTGATGAATATTGGAACTGAAAAGAATTCGGAAAGAAATGCTCGACCGAATGAACCGAGGTTACCCGAAAACAAGATTTAACTAAACATTTCAGTAAAAGCTAAACAAAAAATTGTTGTGGGTAATAATAATCTTTTTTACAGTACAAGTAATTTTAGTTATCATAACTCAATACTTGAAGTTATTAAACCCAGAAGGGATCTCTGTTGTCCCACCAAGAATTTTAGTAAAACTGAATAAACAACAAATGTTTCCAATTGCTACTAATAAGAGTATATTAATCACAACTATTGAGGAAAAAATAGAAAAATTTGCTGCAGTAAATAACCATGGTTTGTTACTACAATTACATTTTCGATCATTTTTAATTACCGCAGAACTAAAAAAACGGTAACTAAACAGTTTAGTTGGCGGGATTTTCTCAGTGATTGGTCCGTCAATTATCCGCTAACCAATAGAATTATAGGACGGTAAATTTATCTTGCAGATAGTTACCAGCAAGTTTATCTGAAGATGAATAAACCGGGCCTAGCTTAGGTGTTTAAATTTGCAGATAATATTGTTTTTCAGAATATTTAAATTTTCTTTTTTTTCTAAGTATACAAGTTTGACTACCAAGACACAGATCACCTAAATACGGATGCGTAAGTAAGTGTCCTTGCCGTCGACAATTCAAAGCTACGAAACCGGGGCAGCCAGCTCCCTTGCCGCATCATGTCACACACTGAAAAAAATGCTACTCTTGAATCAAAGTAGTCAACTCTCTTGATAAGGAATTATTAGCGACAAGAGAAAATATTGTCTTATAAAAGAATATCTATTGCTTGGAGAAAATGTTCTGAGTTCAAGTAAAATAGTTCTCTTGAAAAAATCCAAAAATTCCCTTGACTGTTCCTTTCTTCAACCAAGTTCAATTTATGTTCTCTCAAGAGCTATGGTAATTTTAGATAGGGAAGCTATTCGTTCAAGAGACATTGCATTTATTCCAATTGCCTGACAATCTTGTTGTTCAGAACCAAAATACAATGCGAAGGGAATTATGGGAAAGAAGTGCAGGTGAACGATTGATGAAAGCGGCCTCGCCACGCCAGTACTCTTCTGAGTTTCGTTCCGTAAGTAGGTCGTTTGTGCGAAAAAAAATCTAAATCTGCCGGTCGGGATAAATATTGTATTGAAATGAAGTTGAATTGCAATAGTTACTTAATTTTCAAAAACTATCCAATATAAGTATATCGATCTTCACCAGAAATTACAAGTTGTCTGTTTCTTATCAACTAAAAAAATTAAGTGTGCCTAGTTAATTGTTTGGTGATGGATACTCTATGCTATTTGCAATCGATTCTTATTTGTAGCTTATAGCGGAGTGGGAAGAAGATGAAATAAGAAGAAATAAGAAAATTATTGACTTCCTACACTTTGCTATTTAGGTACAGAATTGTCAATGGCACCAAAGTGTCCTCAAAACAATTGACAAATTTTATTAATTTTTACTGCTATACAGATAACGTGTAACTTCTGTGAAGATCGGAATGCAATCAAAACAAGTAATCTTTCAACTGAGCAACATGAAGTTTGACTCAAAAGACAAATATCTTCTGAAGAGATATTTTGGCTCTTCCCTCAAAATCTCTCTTACATGTTGGGTTTGAACCAAGAGAGTAATAGCTTTGAACGAAAAGAATAAAATCTTGCAAAAGCGCGAATCTTTTGAGTGAAAGTCATATTCATTTCGTCAAAGAGATCCTTTTTTTTCAGTGCAGATCGTCCGCGTCAGAACAATTATTAATGCGGCCGATCATTTATAGTGCGTGAGCATGTTCCAGCCTGTTGTGTTCACGTATAACCTTGAACCACGAATTCACCGCTCTATCGCATCTGTATGTAGGTGATCTGTGACAAAGATTTAAACACGTGAAAATATGGCCCATTTTGAACAACAACAAAAATCTATACAACATGGGGTCCAAACTCAACGATTTTTAAGAAAAAGGCCTTCAAAGTTTTGAAATTTTTTGGCGAATATTTTTAAAAATTGTAATTACCTAAGCAATTATCCATTTTTACTCAAAAACAATAATTAGGTATCTAATATTTAAAAAACAATGTTAGTCGTAATTTGGTTAGCACAAAAAAGGATAGGTGGTTCAGGTAGTTGAACCGATAATTGATTAGGTATTGATTTGTCAGTTACTTGCAGTATTGAAAACTGGCCTGATTTATTATTTTTTTGAAAATAAAATGTTTACAAACGTTGAATATGCAAATATGTTGTTTACGGAGAATCGTTACAGTATGCTCATTTAGCTAACGTTTTTGTCCGTTTCGCAAAGATTGCGTGACAAGGGATGTGTAAGTAAGTAGCTATGCAAAATGTGAATCGGGATTAATCGGGAACCTGCAAGACAAATGAAACCTGCCGATGAAGAACAGATTTTAACGACAAGCAGTTCATCGAACCCTCCCACAAAATGTGCTTCACCTTTATCATGTACAGCGTGTAGAGGCATTGTCTCCTGGAGATTTTCCAGGCAGAATTCGTTTTTGGTTTGTCCAAAAAATCCAAAGATACCCGAATTATGATGTAGGTACACTCTGTTCTATCAACTGATGAGTGCTTCACAGAAGTACAGAAGATGATGGAATTTCAAATTCAAATTATCTCACACCTGGGCATAAGAAAATCGACCAAGCGTTCAAAAAAGCCAATTTGAACAAAGATTTGGGCACTGAAAACGGAAACTTAAATTGAACTTGAGTGCTGGAAATGCATAAAAAATAGGTATACCTATTTTTTTGCACTTCCCGGGACTGCCGCTTTTTATCCCGCGCGGGAGTAAAAGCATACTGTTAGGTAAGTACCTACCCCCGGCGGAGAAAAAGTGCTATTTTGGTTTCCTGTCTATAAAGAATAAAATTCCCCAACCTTTATAATTTTATTACGTTAAGCGAATTAGGTAGATACATAATATTTACAAACAAATAGGTATTTCTGATAAAATCAAGATTAAAAAAGGTGCATTTGGTTTGTTATTTAACTTTTAAATTGTGGATTTCCTGCGAGGAAGTTTCATACTTTAATATGGGGATACAGTGTGACAACCAAGAGTGGCTTCAGGCTTATAACTTTTTTCCCGTTTTTTTTCTTTGGAAAGGGTAAATTCAAATTTGGCACTAAGTTAGATATAGATATAAGTTCGATAGGTATCTATAGGCATAATACGCTTTAATGACTTGTGCACTTGTTCTCTGACACCCGGGTTTAACCGCAACTAGGCATAACCTTCCTATAGGTATAAGTAGGTATAACTATATTTTGAACAGAACACCCGGTTTTATTCTAATTTATTCCGAAACAAAATCTTGTAGTTATTCTGAGTGACACAGAAACAGCGCAAAAATCCCGGAAATTACAACTATACCATAGAGTTTTGTCAAGATTATAATTGTCTTAAGAAACAATAAGTAGGTATACCTTAATCAAAGATCGGGACACGCATGACAGAGCTATATGCATGTAAAAACGCATACATAAGAAAATCTAGCCTACTCATCCGAGCCATGTCGGTTCCGAATGCCGGCCGGGTGTTGAGCTGTCTCCGGTGCCTTCATCTAGAAATCCCACATCATACCCGAATCTCACCCGTCTTCTCATTTTCGCTAATCCCGCCCAGAGCGGTGTCCCTGCGGACACCGCTCGAACAAGTGTAAACCGATATATAATAAATAATATAGGTAGTTGATAGAATTATTTTATTTGTGAGGGCCGAGGTGAGGGATAACACTTGCCTGAAGCTCGATACTGATTTGAATGTGTCTTCCACGTTTGATTTAGTTCCATTAATTAATTCATCCCGGCCGCTGCGGCTTTTGGATGTTCGATGAGGGTGCAAACACGGTGCCATCATCAAGTGCATAAACCCACACCTACATTTTATTTTAATCGATTGAGGGCCAGCCGGCCAGCAGTGGTTCCTGGCACGGCCCATGTGTTGTGGTACTTGGGTATAGACTTCCAAACACCAGGACAATACTTTTTCAGAAAAAAAATGTCGTCTTTTAATTGCTACGGTTCGACCATATTATTATGACACATTTAAATCAGATCTGGATCATAAATAAACTGAGATTTAGGATTCGCATCAGTCTACTATGACAAAAAAGCCATTTTCTCACGAAAAAAACTTAGCATGGATACCTACCTATCAAAAATAAGTTAGGTAGGTACTTATATATTTTTAGTTCAATGTTCGAGTTAAATGTATTAATGACTAGTGTCATACTATAATCACTGAATGTTGAATCAAGAATACCTAACTTGGACATGGATTCATCGCTATCCAGCAGTGCTTTGTCGTTTCTCGAAAAAATTACAATAATGACATCAGCACATTATATTTATGGACCTCGCTGATGGTGGTACCGTACCTAAATGGTGCCCCATTTTAAATCTCGTACCTATATACGTCTAAAGTGGCGATCGTCTACCAAGAAACCCTTGGTGAGATTTTATCTTAATTTAATTTATGATTTTGTATGAACGTACCTTCGCATGTAAATTGTCCATAATGTTTGCCTGAGCTTTTGTCCCCACACACTACACACTCGATGTTTTGGTTTTTATCGGCGCTGCCGGTACTATTTTGAGACGGTGTTTGTCGGCTCAAAAGTGCCAGATCTCCAGAAGGAGCATCTGATAAAGACCCAACGGCCTGAACAGAGTTTGGTGGCTGGACAGCCGTAACCGGTGGTAACGGGTTCAATGAGTTCAGTCCTGCTGATGGTAGCAGCGGAGATTCGCGCCAAGAGTTGGCCACCAGGGATGCCATGGGCACTAAAGCACCATCACGGGCACCTGGACACGTCACCACTTGGCCTATACGGCCTTTCACACTTTCGAAGTCGCAATCGCGTTCGCGCTCTGCCTGAAGGTGATAGGTCGACCCCTCGACAATCTCTAGCCTCTACTGGTGACCTTTCGCTCGGCCCGACACAGACTTGGCCTGGGCGGGCCGGGGAGGTCCTTAGTTCGAGCCGGGTCACGATAGGCCATGGGGCGTTACCGAGTTCGAGTGGGGGACAAGGCAACGCGGCCTGACACGGCGCGATTCTAAAGCAAAATCAGCATCGGACTTAGCCTAAGTAGAAAGGCCATAAAGATTTCAATTTTGCTACACATCCTAGTAATGGTATCCAATGCTATCAAAAAGCAAGTTTCATACACACCTTTGTCAAAACTAGTAGGTACTGATGGTTGCAAGTGAAAGTATCCAAAATACTTGAATACACAACTTTTAATAGTTACTTTCTAAAGTAAATTGTACAACTATCAATGTTAGAAATCTCTAGAAGGTTGATCAATTACCAATTGATATCTATAATGTATAAGCATGGGGTGTCACGGTGGATGCTTAATTTGGTAATTCCTTTCGCAGTCTGCTCCATTGTTTATTACTGTATAGGTATTACTCAACGCGTGCATTATTATAGTAGTTGAATGACACTAGATAGAGACTGCCCCTTCACACGGTTCGAAACCGTCGAGACTAGCCCATCGTGGTACTAGCTCCGATAAATCGATGATGCCTCAATCTCAGAATATCGAAGCCTCCTCGTATCGCGTGATTGGTGAAGGTCTCAAGACATGTCAAGTATCCAAGGATGATACACACCTACAAGGATTGCTTATGGGTCTCGTTTTTGGTAATCGCCGCCATATTGGTGTGTTGCCATTTCCGACGTAATAACTAAGTCGTTAGCTGTTTAAACAGCCTACGTCAAGGCGAGAAATAACATGCTGCCTACGTTACAACTGGTAATTTGGCGTGGGGGGGAAGGTGGGGATTTGCTACACACAGGCCTTATGAGGATAGGCCATCCTGTAGTACCAGTGTGTATCATCCTTGTCAAGTATCGCCCTTATTTCAATCAGGCCTATAATGTATCATTTTCGGTTTTCAGTTATTTTAACACCAACGTAAAGTTGTCTCTCACTACACGTCAAAACAGAGGATGTTGGAGCTTTGAGCTTCTAGCTAAAACATAGCTATTAGAATAACGGAAGAGGATACATTATAGGCCTGAATATGTATCAAGAACATCGCTAGATCGAAATTTGCAAGTGTCGAATCAATTTAGTCTTCTTGCCAAACAATGCGTTTTCGGGTTTCATGAGGCGTTTTTTTTTTTTTGTAAATTATAGGAACTACCCATATGCACAGGTAAAAGATTTCAACAATTATAATCTGGCTTGCAGTCTTATCAATATTTCATTAGTTTTTCTTTTTATTAGGCACGTCAATGAACCATCTATAATAAATGCATTCTGACACATTGTGCACCCTGGGAATAAAAAACCGAGAATAGGTGTTTTTGAAGGTATATATTGCACTACCTACACATTTTTCAATAATTTGGTAGATACCTAGGTAGATGTTTAAGTATAACTGCATCTACATAAGTACTTATATTTAATAAAATCTTGAGAGAGATACCTAGGTACATGGAATGAAAATGTGGAAATCCATTTCAAATTTTGAATGTAAACAAAAAAGTGTCTAGATTTCCAAAATTTTATTTAAATGAAAACGGCTTCATTCAAATAAAATGGTAAAAATATAGAAACTTTTTTGAATCCTTTCAAGATCAATAAAATTTAAAATCTTACTATAAGAAATGATAAAACTCTACACCAACGCGTAATACTAAATGTCAGAATAGTGTACTAAAAATAGAAGCAATCCGGACCTGTTTGGCTTACAGATTAAGGCCCCCAAACAGACAAATCGAGTGTGAAGAACTGCTAACCGCACTGGCTGATTCGCCGACACGTGCTTACAAGCTCATTGCGTTACTCTCGCCGAAACGTCAACATTCGTAGTAGTTTTTCGATTCCGGAATCGCATTCTTAGTTGCAACTCTAGAGTACTTGATAGTCTTGATACACTAGAGTGCATTTTATGCAGTCCTATGGATTTGGTGCTTGAGTGACGGTTTTGCGCCTTTACATCATTTCATATGGATTGATTACTTTTTCACCCTGTCCTCGGTCGGCCTTTTTATTTTAGAAAGTTGTCCTGCTGTTACATTTTGTTTTCAAGTGGATAATTATCAGTGTTTAGGTTTTAGTGAGTTTAATAGAATATTGGTACTGACTACTGGGTACACTCTAAAGTCTTAGCCTAAACTATTTTTGTTTTATATTGAAAACACATTGCAGTAGTTGCGCTATCATTTTTCTAGTGTAACTTATGCCTACTTGGGTTATTTAAAAATAAGAAATAAGTAGGTATGACTCTATATACTTTAAGCGAAGTCAATTAAATCAATAATCAGAACAAAAACAAAATAGTTACATAATATCACCGGCATTTTTTATATATCGTTATCTTATAAAGATAAAAACTTTGGCATATACATGGAACTTGTCGTCGACTTGGATTAGCTTGGAAAAATGATCAACTTTTTTAAGTTTACTTTTTTGTAGATGGCTTACTGAATTTGCACGGCTTGTTGTTTGGCGTATGATATTAGCAAACAGCACGCTATAACATTGAATATAGGGGAGATTTTAATAAATTAATGAAATTAAGATAGACCTAGGCGATAAAAATAATAACGTATTATTTCTATTATATGTAAGTACCTAGGTACTGCAAATATTTTTTTTATTTTAGGTTTTTATTTCTGCAGAAAAATATTTTGGTGGATTTTATTTGTTTTTACCCCTGTTCAATGCTATGCTAAGTTAATGTATAGGTAAATCAACCAATGGATTTTTCTTGTCGAGAATTTTAACTTTTTGAAACTGCCACAGATAGAAAAACAACCGTGTACCTATATCCGCAAAGAAATCAGATCCCTGAATCTCAGGTACTTTCATTTTTATACTGAAAATCTTATTACCTACAATTATTTGTTGTGAGTGAATTCTCACTTTTGCTGAATGTGTGTGACTGAATAAAAAATTGTTCTTGCTCATCGGGATGAGAATATGCTCCAATTGCTCCATATAGATACTTTTGAAGTCGATAGGCTGGATAGGCAGCAAATTTCAGTTCCATATTCATCGCGGCAGAGCTATCTTTGGGTTCATCCTTAATTTGCGTTAGAAAAAATATTACAATAATATTATGGATCGTGAGTTTAAAGCATCCAGTGGATATTAAATAACTTTCTTTACGTAATCCGGAGGAAAAAAAGGATGGAGGGGCTATATCAAGTGCTTTATGTATTTAGCTTTGATAAAATTAAAATATTGTCGAGATATCTATGTAGAGGACCCGGGCTTCAAACAGATGTATAGGTACCAGATGATTAGCTTCTGTCTCAAAAGTTGTGACGGAAGTTGCTGATAAGTTAATGATGGTAAAATGTGGACAGTGGAAAAAAAGTAGATCCCACTACTCTAATACATCAGTTGGAGTGGTTCGGATTTCAATTGTGGGGCAGCTGGTGACTCTGGTGTGTTACTTGGACCAAAAAAAGCACGCAACCTACTAACAAATCCCATTTGGAATTGGCAAGTTTTAGTACTTTCGTCTCCACTGCTGTTTTCAGTCTTTCCTCTCATTTTGAACCAACATATTAGATAATGCGCGCTGGTTGACTCCCTAGATCTGGTTACTAACGTTACAAGGCCGATAAATAGCAAATAACGTCCGAAACTGATGAAGTTTGGAATCCGAGGCGGTTATTTACCAACAATAATTATTATCGGCCGTGTTTTGTTCTAGATTTTTGGTCATACTGCAGATTTTGCAAAACAATCGTTGTGTTTTCGACATGTTCTTCTAGAAACATCACTCGTAGTTTCTAGGAAACTTGTAAATAATCATCTGGTTTGAGGTATGTTTGGGCAGCCATCATTTTTTCGGTTATTATAACTAAAGGTATGACTACTTGGCAAATCCAATTCTGATGATGTTCTATAGTATTTTACATTAAGTATAAGCCACGTGTTGCAATAACTATCTTGGCAGCTTAAAGCACAAATGGGAAATGATGCGAAACCACTCCCAAATCCATAGGTTAGGTTCTGGGGTTTGTATTACGTTATTAAAATAAAACAAACCCTGTTACATAGACAAAAGCAAAATTTAATAAATTGTTGAACAAAATGTGTAAATAAAAAAAAGAATTCCTTTGACATATTAATATTAAACCTCTAGCTAAACTTAGAAATGAAAAATGAAGGATCAGCCTGTTTAATGCAAATAAACTAAAAAATGATAACATAACAAATTTACAGTGGCGTAGCTATCGTAGGGCAGCTCGGTGCGGCGCACTGGGGCCACGGTGCTAAAGGGGCCCCGAAGCTATGCGCAAATATTTTTACGAAAAATTTACCTACTAGCGAGTCCAAGGCGCGAAAAAGAACATTTTGATTTTTCTTATAATAAAATTATAATCAAAAGCTGAACACTTTATTAGGCCGAATATAGTTTTGAGTTGTTTATTATTGTTTTTTTTTCTGTTACCTATTTGTTTCATTAAACCTATTGAAAATAAATACACATTCGTTATTTTTATTTTGTAGATATATTTATTCAACTGGCCTGGGGGGGCTGCGCAATGTATTTGCACCGGGGCCCCGTCCAACTACGCCAGTGCAAATTTACAGTAAATGTTAAATCAGGCGAACTCATTCAAAGTATTGCTCGCTGTATTGATTAGTTCTTAATTTATTAACAATATGAATTATTCGAGGAACTATTATTTTGCGCCTCCAAAACAAGGTTTCATACTTAAATCAACTTAAACACAGAATGTGTGTGGCTCCCACAGTGTGGGTTCAAATTGTACATTACCCCTTTGTCTTTATATCCTCGAACTTATCGCAGACCGACTCCACCTTGATATGGGAGCCTCAATATGTTCAATGTTGAGAACTTTTGAGGTTACGGCACTGCACTGGTTATTACTCTTACGTCACTGACACAAACCACTAT